AAAGAATAAAGTAGTAGATTCACTCTGAAGTGAGAAACTTTTTGATGGGTTCCTCAACATGTTTCCTTCATAGTGGACACCCTGAAATCATAGCATGAACAGATTTCACCAGCTTTCTAAAATATGTTTGACAGAGACTCAATTAATCTTTGTTAATTCTTACTTATTTCAATAATATCTTGACCAGATTTTAATCTTACATATGATAGCTGCTGGCCTCTTTCACCCAACATTGAAATGCCTTTGTGTTCTTAATGACATTGACATTATAAAATTAGAATCACAATATAAAAATTAAATTACAGTAACCTTTGTGGTAGAATGCTAAAGATCCATTAATGTAAGGGAAGATAATTTGGTGCTTTAATTATATAATATTCTACTGCTGAAGGAACTTAAGTTGTTGAGCCAGTCATAGATTTTATCCCAATGACTATAGAGAAGAAGGAAAGATTCAAATGTCATTTATTGGTTTATTTTTTAAAGACCTGGTCTTGATTTTTAGCCCAGGCTGGTCTTGAACTCACAATCCTTAATGACTTAGTCTCCTGAGTGCTGGGATCATAGGCATGCCATCACCATTCTGACTTGTTGATGTTTATAATTCCAAAGAGTTATACCTATATGTACCTTTATATATAATGACTTTGTCAATATGTAAACAATTATATTTTGTTAACATAAGTAATATATAAGTATTACTTATTACTTTATTACTTATGTATTACATAAGTAATAAAATACTTACGTTATCTCATATTATGAATATAGAACTTTGTATTTTTCTTATGGCAGTGCTAATAGTAATACTTAGGAATTCATTTAAACTTTTTAAAATGTTTGGATTATGTCTTGGAAAAATTGCAATTTTATCACATATATACAAATGAAAGTCTATACATGAGTATGGGAGGGTTATGGTTGAGCTGAAAAGAAATTATTACAGTAATTCTACAGTTATTTTGACTCATATCTTTTGCAAAAAAACATATAAATTCATATGTAAAATTGAGCTGACTGTTATATTTAAATACTTCTCTTTCTGAGCATGTATTACCATAAGATGAAAAATAGGAGGATAGAAAATATTTTTTGAACAAGATTTCCCTATATAGCCTAGGCAGGACTTGAACTGTATTGCTCTGCTTCAGGCACCCAAGTGCTGCCATTATAAGTGTGCACTTCCGTGTCTAGTTGATAAATGAATCTTAATAATGAATAAGTGATTAGCATTATTTGATTTTCACAAAGTATTTTTTACATTTCTTTTATTCATATGTGGATGCAATGTTTGGGTCATTACTCCCCTCTTCCCCCCGTCCCCTCCCTTTCTCTATGCCCCCTCCTTCTACCCCCTACCCCCTTTCTTCCAAATAGAAACTGTTTGCCCTTATCTCTAATTTTGTTGAAGAGAGAGTATAAACATTAATAAGGAGGACCAAGGGTTTTTGCTAGTTGAGGTAAGGATAGCTATACCAGGAAATTCCTAGCATTGCTTCCATGTACATATGTGTTACATTCTAGATTGTTTCTTGTCAAACTAACCTTTTCTCTAGTTCCTGGTCCCCTTCTCCTATTGGCCTCTGTTGCTTTAAAGTTTCTGCATTAGATCCTTTGCATTGAGGACATCCAGTGTATCTTGTTTTTTTGGGTTACCTACCTATCATCACACCTCCCTTGTGTGCTCTCACCTTATCATGTGACCAATGTCCAATCACATCGTATTTTAAAGAAGCAAACATTTAAGAGATTAGACAAACTTATGAAGATTGCCCAGAGTTCCACTTGTTGGACTTCAAAATCTTTTTCTGTGTATTATATACATGTTTAGTTTTCAATTTCTCTCATCTGCATAATTTGGATTATGCCGTCTTTATTGGCTAGGGGTACATTATTTGAAAGCGTGACGACATTGTATTGAGATATGGATGAAGATAAGGACAAATCATGTCTTGGTAATCTCAGAGTGGAGCAGAAGAAAAAACTGAATATTGGATCAACTATTTTTGTTTTGATTTCCTTTGCTCACTGTTTCTTTACTTGTTTTCTGATACAAATACTAAAATCTATGCAAATAGTGATTATCTTAGAAGGTGTGCTTTTTTCTTATTTCTATAGCTTATAATTCCACATCCGTTCTCAGATCCATGCTCTTTAAGGTACAGAGAGCATTTTGATTATCTACCTTTATATCTATAAGGCTTGAGAAAATAGTCCTCACTAATATTCCTTATTATATGCATGTAGCTTTGTGAGAGTACTTTAAAATATATAAGAGGTACACAGGGCCAAAATCCTTTTAGTGTAACTCATTTATTTTAAATGGCTGCTTTTGTAGCAACCTTTATTCCCCTCCAACAATTACCCATTTATCTCTCCTTCACCTTTCTCTCCTTTACCCTTCTCTCCCTCTTGCTTCTTCTACCCTGCTTCCTTCCTTGCTTTATTCTATCTCCTTGCTTTCTCCTTCCTTCCCTCTTTCCTTTTCTTTGCTTTTCCTTCTGCCCTCTTTCTTTGTCTATTTTTTGTGTTTAGCTAATCATTTATCATAGATTACCCATGTCTCATTTGTACCTAACCATTCATCTATTTATTTATGTTCTTTCAGAAATGATTCTACTTTCATAAATTCTAACTAGACCCTTGGCAGTTATAGTTCACTTCATGCTCATAGTTTCTGCTGTTTATATAAAAATGTCCATTCGATTTTCTTCACTGTCTGTGAACTGCTGGCATCAGAATTACAGTCTAATCAGAAGGTGAACAGCTTGTAATGTATAATAATCAATACTCAAAAGTTGCTCTCCTGAATGTGATATAATGGAGTCAAGTAAAAAGCTGTAGATTTTTAGCAGCGAAGTTCAAACAGTCATTTTATGTTAGTGGTTTCAAATTCAGGTCGATTTATATTTTCTTACATCTGCATTAGTCTCTTTCTCTCTCTTCTTAAATTCATATTGAATTCATTCAGCACTGACCAATCAACTAGCCAGTCAATATTGGAATATAAAACTATGTTGGCTTATTTCAAAGACAGTGTATTGGTTATAAATGTATTTAAGGGAAAAAAAAGATGCAAAATTATTAGCAAGTGAAACAGGCTATAAAGAATTCTATTGTCTTTTTGAAGAATAGAAATGATGGAATGAAATGATTTTGTTGTTTTTGGCACTTACTGACAGATACAGATAGAGGTAATATGTATGATTCCCACTCAGAGTAAGTAAGGAAAATAGACAGCTGATATTGAACATTTCTAACATCGTTTTGTTTCTTCTTAAATTAAACTCAGATCTAATTTAAATACATAAGAAGTCTTCCCAGAAGATTTGATGTGTCTAGACTGGTTAAAAATGTTGGGGTCATGTCCCTCTAATAGACTTCTCAGTCAGAGATAGTGTATGATTCTATGGGTGCATAATTCAATTTGAGACTTCTTTCATCATTCTTGCCTGTATTACATAATGAACTTAAAAGTAAATACTTAGTTTTCTCCTAGGAAAATATTTTTTTAAAAATGACAAATTAAAATAGATGCAAGCTATCTAAATACTTTTTTTTAAAGCAGTTCACAAGGCAAAAGATGTATGCTATGAAATACCACAGTTTTTTTTGTCCTGTCAAGATACCATTCTGATACTTTGTAATACATTTTAGTCTCTTAGGAAATTATTTTATGGCTGAAACTTTTTGAGATAAAACAGGTTGTGAATTTTTTTAATAAGGAATTATATACGGGCTTTAAATATAACCTCAGATTTTATATGTAACTTTGAGATATAATTGTACAAATTTCAGAATGTTATTGAATTAGCTCTTTCCTATTTCAAATATGTCTGATTTAGACTTTTTTTTCCTTGCACAGGACACTATACATTTATGTAGGGATCATCTAACAACAATTAAAAGGTAATCCCCCAGGCTCCTAAATGTGAAGGGAACTCTATTCCCATCACAAGGAAGTAAACTGTAAATATCCTCTCCTGAAAGTAAAAGTCTGATTTAAAAAGAATCATTAAACATAATGGAAACAATGGTTTGTAGAGGAAAGGAACAACACTGGGAAGATGTAATTCAAAGATATTATTAAAAATGTCAGGGGTCAATGGAAGTATGCAGTGGTTGTCATAATGAAAGAATTTCTGTTATTCTTCCTTATTTAAAGTCTTTAAACTAGAAATCATTAAACAGTGCTTGAAACAGATTCTCCATATGTCTATTAGTAAAGAAAAGACATAAAAATTCTCACAGAAAGCATTATTGTTTAAAATTGGAAATCCACATTTGTCTTTTATCCTGAACTACACCTGTTGAGTAAATCCATTTTCACCTACTTATACCAAAAACAAGTAACTGAAGTGAGGAAAACTGCTTACAGGATCCATACACATATCTAATACAAGAGGAATGTACTCTCTTTGACAAGCATATTCATAATATACTCTGAGAGAAAACTCTATTTGTCACTCTCAGTAGGAAAAGCAGGTTTTGAAAGGTAACCTTTTATTTCACATCTGTCACAAAAATAACAATTACAGGTAAAATAAGGGTAAAACATTTTTTTAAAAAAGCAGCTTAGGACTTGTTATGAACATTTGAATCTACATTTTGCTCCATTACTTGATTTGAAAAATTAATCCTTTTTCAAGTTCACAGTTTCCAGGATGGGTTATACAGAACAAAGACTAACTGACAGCCCCAAGAGATTGGATTACAAGAATGCTCTATTCTCCTGAGAATGATTCTCCAATGGCCGGTTTTTACTTCTTCCCAGGCTATGGGAATTCGTTAATATCTAGAGAATAAACTTAAATAAAACCATTGTCTCAACGAGTAGGTTTATGTAACCATCCTGAAATGTTTTAAATGTTGTTTTCTTTTTCCTTTTTAATTAAGAGACCAGAGGTCAAGCAAGCCCACTGAGAGCTGATCAAAACCTCAGTAGAAATTTAAAGTAAACCCTAATGATTGTATTTGCTGTTTTCTTTTTTGTTTTGCAGAACCAGAAGAGTGTGTTAATTGCACAGATGAATGCCGAGTGCTTGGTCATTCTGATAGGTGTTGGATGCCACAGTTCCCTGCAGCCAATCAGGCTGAAAATGCAGATTATCGCACAAATCTCTTTGTACCAACAGTTGAAGCTAATGTTGAGACTGAGACTTACGAAACTGTGAATCCCACTGGGAAAAAGACTTTTTGTACATTTGGAAAAGACAAACGAGAGCACACTATTCTCATTGCCAATGTTAAACCTTATTTAAAAGCCAAACGTGCCCTGAGCCCTCTCCTCCAAGAGGTCCCCTCAGCATCCAGCAGCCCAACCAAGGCATGTATCGAGCCTTGCACCTCAACAAAAGGTTCCCTGGATGGTTGTGAAGCAAAACCTGGAGCCCTGGCCGAAGCAAGCAGTCAGTACTTACCCACTGACAGTCAATATCTGTCACCCAGTAAGCAACCGAGAGACCCTCCCTTCATGGCTTCTGATCAGATGGCAAGGGTCTTCGCAGATGTGCATTCCAGAGCAAGCCGGGATTCCAGTGAGATTGGTGCTGTCCTGGAGCAGCCTGAACACCCCAACAGGGATCTGGGCAGAGAGTCCATGGATGCAGAGGAAGTTGTGAGAGAAATTGATAAGCTTTTGCAGGACTGCCGAGGGAATGACCCTGTGGCTGTAAGAAAATGAGAAGGAAAAAAAAAGTGCATTGGCATTTTCTTATCTCTTCTGTTGAGTTAAAAATGATCACTTCTGGTGACAACCCATTTTACAGGGATGGAGAAAGACCAATGCTACTTAAGGCTTTTAGTGAACATCTGAAGTGCCCACAGTATGTTCTTTTCACTGCTGTTTCTTTTTGAGAAATAACAATGATTTTGTTTTGACCAAACTTATATTAGGACAGAATTAATGATGCTTAAAGAGAAAAGAAAAAAGAGAGAGAGAAGAAAATGAAAATTAAAAAAGGAGGATAAGGAGACACGTAACCTTTTGACAATCTGTTAGGAAGGTATGCACTGTGCGAATTGAAGTATTTCTGATCACTCTAAGATTGTCCTCCGAGATTTATGCTGACTTAACTGTTTACCTATAAACCCCACACAAAGCAGGGTCAAAATTTGTGATCTGTGGTGGATTTCTAGCAGTCATCACAGGCTTCTACTGAAAGTCCCGAAAAGACCTTGCAGTAGTCTAAGCTACACCAAACATTAACACATATCTGTGGTAAACATTTCTGTATAAAGTTACCTGCCACACATATAAACAAAAAGGACATTCCATATCATTAGTCAAAAATAAAAACAAAAAAAAATCAACAAAAAAACTTGGTCATTTGTAAGACACCTCATGTCCTATAAAAGTTAAATGTAAAAAGATATAGTCCATTTTGTCCTGCACACACATAGACTAATTCACTTCATTTAAAGGAGAAGAAAATTTCAAGATTTAAAATGCCTGTTTAGCATTTTAGTGTCCAACAAAGATATAAATAATGATGAGTTTGTTTTAAATTGACAGAGAAAAGCTTTGAAAAAAGGGTTATGAGTGGTAATATTCAGAGAAAATCAACATGATTATGATGTTTTATTCATTTGTGGACACTAAAATAGCTCAGGAAAGTGAAAAATGTCTTAGACATACACAAATCACATGACCATTTAAATGTGCAAATGTAAGAAGATTCAATGTGTTTACATCAAATGACATATTTTTATTGATTTATTGCAGATTCCGTGCATATGAGCCAAATTGTTGAGTGTATAAGAGCTATATTGTGTATTTTATTAAATTAATATATAGTTGTGTTGCAAAAATATTTGGGCTTATATTGTAAATGGCAAGTGTTGCCTCGGTAGCTGTCGAACTCTATGAGTTTTGTTTTTTCCTGCTTCCTTTTCCCCATGGAGTGTGGGAAGCAGTGCCTCAGAGCAAAGTCTCTTGTTTAATGTATAGTCTACCAAGTACTACAGTACATAATCTGTTCAAAATGTGTTTGAGTGAGCTGATGGAGCTAACTGAAAGGTCAAAAGATACTTCCATCAGTCATGGTTCTGTGCAAGTCCTTGTAGAAGCTTTTATTAAAGTCATGCTAAATCACAAGAATTACATTTGTACCAATACCTGAACCTTCTTCATGCTCTTTTCAATGACAAAGCTTCTGCTTATGTAGATATCATGCCATTGGGTTGGTTCTCAAAAGTATCTTTAGTGGTTCAGATGTATGTTCCCATTATATTTCAAAAACATGACAGATGCTTTAATGCATGTTCATTGTATAGTGCTTTTCAAGACATCTGGGTTTTAAAATCTGTTTTCCTTTATCTCAGTGCTCCTCTGGCTGTTTTTATTGGTGTCCCTTGAGTACAGTACACCTTTTATTCCATTGTTTGGTTGCACCTTTTCTTGTGATATTTAGCAAGTTTCAAACTTACTTCCATATAAGGCTAAGAAACCTCTAATTTCAGGAATTAGGATAATAAAATTAGCACTTGCAGAAGTAGTAGCAGATGGGAAAATGCCTTGATTGACATTTTTCTTCAGAATTTAAAAAAATTGACATTTTATAGCTTCATGGCAAACAGTTTTGAGCCCATACCTTACAAAATGTGGTGCTGAGTTACATAAAAGCTGTTTGCGCACTGGAGCAAAAGAAAAATGCATTATTTGCAAACTGGTGGAGAATTCTGTGCCTTCTTTTCTGGCCACCCAGTCAGTATACAAACAGCATAAATGTCATAAGACCCTTATATTAAAAACAAAAGCAAAATAAAAAACAAACATTGAACTAAATTAAGTTTTTGTAATTTCAAACCTCAAAAAAATTCTACTGAAATTGTTTCCATCAAATGACATCAAGATTTTAGATTGCACCTTACTTGCAAAAGTGCTTTGGGAGGGAAGAGTGAGCAGCTCCTATCAGCCTTACTCTCTCGAGAACTGTATTTGGTTCCTAGTAACAGCCTTTCCAAAGCTCTATTCTTGGTTTGTATCATTCATAAATGTTTAAATTAGAAAAGAAGGGATCTTGTACATGTGAAACCTAAATGAGTATGTTTTGGACAATTTATGTATCTGAAATGTGTTGTCTCTGTTATATGATGTCATTTTTGCCAGGAGACTACAGGTTCATTTCGCTTGATAATTGAAATTTGATTGGAAACCGACTTCCATTTAGTCTTTCCAAGTGTTTTGCCTCTCTCTTACTAGACAGAAAACCACTCAGTAAAATTGAAAACATGTAAATGAAATCAACAAAGAGAGTAGGATTTATTTTTAAAACATTCTTAACACTACGTAACCAGTTGTTCAATTTACTATATGTTTCTGAAGACATAGAAACACCATAAGATTCTAAGAATTGGTTGTGCCAACATGTGAGGGAATTACCTTTAGGCTCTCTGTCACCAGTGACTTACTAGTGTTAGCTGTTTAACACATTATCTGTATTTAGTGGTGATTATTTATTTACAAGTTGGTGGTAATTCAGCAGTCAGGACTCTAAGGTTTTATAGTTGAGGGAATCTTGCTTCTTATTCATTCCCTGGCAACTGCCTTTATCACAGACTTCTGGTGCTTGGCTTCCAAGAAAGCCTATGAGATGCCAAAATCCCACATTTGGGGATCAGTTGCTCTAATGAGTGGCACAAAATCAATGAGATTTAAAGGGGTTTCACCATAATTAAGAATGATTTTTAAAGTCTTAATTTAAATATTTCAAATACTAAGCTCTCAAAAAAACCCACATATTCAAAATGGAAAGTTTGATACTACTTTTTCTTTTAGGTCCTTAGCTAACTGATGTCAAGCACAGAAAAAGAATCCATTTATGGAAATTTTAGTAAGAAACCCAAAGTTCTAAAAATTTCTTACTGATGAACTAAAAATAAAAAATCATTAATAAAATAATCTTTTGTGAGATGTTAATGATGAGAAATCTTTTAATCAAAGCTAAAATAAGTATCAGTGTTAGTTATACTACACCAAAGTAAGCATTCATGAGACATATGTAATCTGAAAGAGTGCTTTCACATTGTTTCTAAACCCGATCCCCTTATCCTTATTGCAGGTAACATACAAAAATTGTTGCCATATTCCATAAATTAATTGAATTCCTATTTGGAAAATTGACTTTCTTTCCTCTAAAATTAACTGAGATCTTGTGAAGCAGGACTTCCCTTTAAAGGATCTAGACACTGCTCAGTATAAAAAATGGCACCATAAAAAGTCATGTAGTAATAGAGCAGTATGCTGTATTAGAACCAGGTTAAAAGCTGTTTGTTGTCTAATGGAGTAGAAGTTGTTGAGGTCAGCAAATAGACTGAGGTCTGGCATGATATATGACCACTCATTATTATCTAATTATAATCTTTTGACAACAGACAGCACTTAGAGCATTAATTCAAATGAGAGTTTTGGTTATCAGGATGTGTTGATTCAAAATATAATTGAATGAGACCTGATTAAAGTCTGACTTTTTGCAGGTTAGCTATTCCCATTTTTCAACCCCATCACTCCATATGGTTCTTAGTTGCACCAAGTGATTGGTGGACAAGGACAACAACATCAAAAGCAGCATACATTGTATGGATTTATCTCAACGCTATTGTTTAATGGCTGTGTTTAATGTGACCTATCTGGAAAATGAGGACTCAGAATAAAAGCTATTACTAATAGTGGTGGTGCTTTCTCTTGAGTTCATTAACACAGAACTGGTATGTTGCACACTGCATACCACAAGAACCCTGAATATAATTATGTTGGAAAACTGAATGCGACATTACCACTGTTTTTGTTTTTTTTTTTTTTTTGATCATTATACATTTTATTTATTTATTTATTTTTTTCATTTTTCTTTTATTATTCATATGTGCATACAAGGCTTGGTTCATTTTTCCCCCCTGCCCCCACCCCCTCCCTTACCACCCACTCCACCCCCTCCCGCTCCCCCCCGCAATACCCAGCAGAAACTATTTTGCCCTTATCTCTAATTTTGTTGTAGAGAGAGTATAAGCAATAATAGGAAGGAACAAGGGGTTTTGCTGGTTGAGATAAGGATAGCTATACAGGGCATTGACTCACATTGATTTCCTGTGCGTGGGTGTTACCTTCTAGGTTAATTCTTTTTGATCTAACCTTTTCTCTAGTTCCTGGTCCCCTTTTCCTATTGGCCTCAGTTGCTTTAAGGTATCTGCTTTAGTTTCTCTGCATTAAGGGCAACAAATGCTAGCTAATTTTTTAGGTGTCTTACCTATCCTCACCCCTCCCTTGTGTGCTCTCGCTTTTATCATGTGCTCATAGTCTTACCACTGTTTTTGAAAATAATCTGTTTTCAAGTAAATTAAGATTTTTTAAAAGAAACTACTTAAAAATAATGGCACTATTTTCTCAACAGGAGTGGATTAACAATCTTTCAGATATTTTTAATATAAACTAGCTAGTCAAATAATTACCATGGAGCCATGACCAAACAATTCATATGCCTTTTAATATTTACAATTGGTGAAATAACAATTTGGTAAAAGATCTTCAAGGATTTCAGAAGTCATTTTATAAACCTTCTTATAATCTCAAAATGATGGATGAAAGCATATGTTTATAAATAGCATTTTAAAGTCAACATGTTTATCCTGGCACCACTTCAGCAAACATCTATTGAATTCCTACTGTGTGTTTACCTTGAGCAAATATACCTCATGAGTAAACAGAAAGTGGTGCCTGGGTTACAATCAGGAAGCAAAATCAATTAAGTAAGTTATAATGTACATTGCTGTTTATAAATTAGATAGTGTTTTCATTTCCATCAGATAATCTGGACGTTTTATATTTCTGCTGTCTCACTTAAAGTACATGACATCTTCTAATTCAACATAAAATTTACTTACTTAAATGTTTTTGCTTTACCTTTTTGTGGTATAGATTAAGAAGAGT